GACTCCAGGGAGAACAATTTTGTGAATAAAACAGTCCTTTTAAGCATTCATGACAGCCACTTTTTATAATGTTCTGAACGAGAGAAGACATTTCAGGCACTCTGTCTACAGGAAGGAAGCAATTATTTTATTAGCACTTTGAGAAATTAAATTATGTGAATTATGGCAGAATAAGTTTAGCAAAATGCTATAATGTAAGAAAACAATTAAAAAGAGTTATATAAGGTTGGGTGGCTTCTTTATTCTGATAAAGTGTGCAGTTAATTGATTGTCACATGGCTGTAATGTACCAGGAGAGCTGTGAGAGCAAATAGAGAGGTCTTTGCTCAGGAGAGGTGTTGGAACCCTGGAAAGTGAGAATTTTAAACTTTCTGTGCTGTCAGGCTCTGACCCCCAAGAGAACACTGCATTTGGCCTGAGGCTGTGGAGAAGGTTTCCAAAACTGAATGATAAAACTGAGATTATGAGTGTGAAGTTTAAATACAAGTGTGTAATATCACATAGTAAAAAACTTAGAATTTGAAGTTTTAAAATATAAATAATATAATATATATAAATTTTTAATGTATTTTAAAATATATTTTAAAATATAAATATAATATATAAAAAACAAAATAGAAGACTTAAAACACAATGATAAAACTGAGATTATGAGTGTGAAGTTTAAATACAAGTGTGTAATATCACATAGTAAAAAACTTAGAATTTGAAGTTTTAAAATATAGTAACATATATAAAACAAAATAGAAGATTTAAAACAGAACCAAATCCTTCTTCTTCACCTTCTTCTTCATAAGTAGTACTGTATAATTAGATTTTAAAATCCACATAACAGAGCACAAGCAGTTAGTTAAGTTAAAACTAAAAATCATTTAAGTGTCATTTCTTAATTAAACGAAATGAATTAAATTCAAAATAATTACGATGGGGAAACCTCCAAACTGTGGAAAGGTTCCTGGGGGATGAGCAGCAAAATGAGTGCCCAGAGTGCTGCTGCAGCAGAGGAATCCCAGGGCTGGGCAGCACCAGCACTGCCAGGGCAGTCATTGTCCCTCTCAGCACTTGTCAGGCCATGCCTGCAATTCAGTTTTGATCCCTGCTATACAAAAATAAAGATGTAGACAGGTTGGAAAGGGTCCAGAGAAGGGCCACAAAGATGATGCAAAGCCTGGAAAGCTGCCACATGAGGAAAGGCTGGGAATGTTTTAAGCCTTGAGGGGAAAAAAAGGCTTAGGGGAGAGTTTCTGGCTGTGTTGCAGTGAGCAGGAGAACAGCTCCAGCTCCAGAATGCTCAGGGATGGGCAGGAGGAAGGGATTGCAGAGCAGCCTGCACAGTCCCCAGTTAAAATTCACATTTTCTGCTCCTGCCCAGCACCCCTCTGCAGTCTGGTGGTTAATACCAAGCTTCACTCTTTCAGCAGCCTTGTTGATTTGGAAAATCCTCATCAGGATTCTGGCTAAGTCAGACTGGATGGAAAGCCACACAAATTTCAAAGGCACAGCCTTTACTGACAACTGCACAGGCTCCAAATTCCATGGCCTGAGCAAGAGGAACAGGAGGCTGCTGCACACAATGTCACAATGTCACCAAAAGCTATCCAGCAAAAACCCAAATACTGAGAATTGCCTGACTCAGGACCAATGAACTTTGAACCACTTAATTTCTCTGGGTTTCCACTGTGTAGCATCTGAAAAATCCAATGAAATTCACATGTCACGGGAGGATTTTCTCTGCACAGCCCAGGCAATATGTGGATGAAATTATTTCTGTGGCACATCCTGGCCAGAATAAAGCCATGCCTTGATTCTCTAACACTAAAAATGTTGTTGAAGAATTTTTTTGGCTTCCCCACAGTCTGGTGAGAGCAAGGGCTTGACCCTCTCTCAGACTTTTCACATCTAACTGCATCCTCTGTGGTGTGTGCTGCTGGGAAGCAGCAGGAACACAGACTAGGTGTTTTCCCTGGTGAAACCACTGAGGGATCTGCTGCCTTTTGGCTCCTTTTTCTCCTCTGGAGGTGAGGATTGAAGGCACTCGAGATGATGGTTCATGTTCAGGCTCAAATGTTGATTATTTCTTGTCCATGTTACAGTCTCACAGCAGTGAGTTCTGCAGTACTTCACCAACAAGGCACAAAATGGCCAACTCTCTCTTGCTACAAGGTCTTTTAAGGCTAAAATATCCAATTAAGAAATGACACCTGCATTGTTTTCTCTTTTAACCCAATAACTGACCCCTCAGAACCTGCAATGTGGACTGTTCTGTCCAATTACAAAATACCACCCAAACCCATGGAGAAGGAGAAGGAAAAGGAGCAGAAGGAGAAGGAGGAGAAAGGACGAGAAAGGGAAGAGGAAGAGAAGGAGAAGAAAAAGGGGAAGAGGAAGGAGGAGAAGGAGGAGAAGGAGGAGAAGGAGAAGAAGGAGAAAGAAGAAGAAGAAGAATCAGCCCTAAAACCTCCATCTTGCTCTATATATATTACTATATTCTAAAACCTTCAACTCTAAGTTTTCCACCCTGTGATATCACACACTTCTATTCAAACTCCACACCCTCAATCCCAGTTCTATCACTCAATTCTGGAAGCTTCTCCACAGCCCCAGGTCAATGCAGTGCTCTCCTGGGGGTCAGAGTCTGTCAGCACAGAAAGTCTCAAGCTCTCAGCACCCAAAACTCCAGCAGGGATCTGCACACACAATTCCCAGCCCCTCTTTGCACTCTTCCTCAGCTGGGCTGAGCTGGAGCTGCTCAGCTGAGCTGGAATTGCTCACAGTGCTTGGCAGGAGTTCCCAGTGCTGGGATTTCTGTGTTCCTCAGGCATTGCATCACCTCCCAGGCGAGGCTGGCTGGGAACAATGGGCAGCTCTGGCCTCAGCTCCTCGCTCAGCTATTCCTGTCCAAGGAGCAGCAGGGTGCTGAAGAGCAGCTGGGCTGATTTCATGCCTGATCTTAAGAAACCTGAGCTCTTCATCCAGCTGTTTATTATTATTTTTATAGAACTGCAGGTCTCTTCATGCTCCATTCTACAGCACAGAGAGGTTTTTTCCAACTTTCAGTGCGTCACTTTCTAAGAGGTTTGTAATTGGATCCTGTCTGTGTCAGCATCTCTGTCTGAGAGCTTTGCTGCTGTGGGCTGCAGGGGATGCATCTGAAACCCAGGCCTGGGTTTTCTGAAATAAATGGAAACAGCTAAATCTTAGGGATGGTCACAGGAGGAGGAGGGGGATTAGGCACAAAATTCACTTGGTGACCAAGAAAAATAAATTACAAGTCCAGGGAAGAAACACCTCAGGCAGTGTGGGTTACAGTGGTGGAATAAATCTGCTGCTAATGTTTTATAAGAATCAGCTCTCTGGTTTATGTATCACATCTGAACTCTTCATACACTCCACACCTCAAGAAAAAAAAATAGAAGGCAATTAATCACCCTGAACATTAATTGCTCACGTTTGATTAGCCAGCCTTTGAAAACAAATGTGACACAGAAACAGAAAAAGCCATTGATAGCATTGACAAAACATCTCTGTCAGAGAAAAAAAAATTTAAAAAACCCCAACAAATTTTTAAAAATGGCATAACTGCCTGGTGAGTACAAATGGCAGTGGATTTGGGGCTGTGGAGCTCCTGGCAGCTCACACTCGTGGTTCTGTCCCCCAAGTGTGTCAGGGCTGTGCCAGTCAGGCTCCCTGACAGTGGGGAGTTGTAGCCTATTGGCAGAAATATCAAAATACACATTGATTAGAGAATTAAACTTCACAAACACCCCTTTCACAGCCAGCAGGGCAGTACAGCAAACTGGGAGGGGTGAGAATGCAGAAAACATTAAAAATATAAAGTTCCATTTAGCCTTATGGATAACTTTCCCTTTTCTTCTTCTATTGAGTACCTATTTCTCTTCCAGGACATAACATTCCATGAATGATTATCTTATTATCATCAGGTCCTGCATGCCACTAATATTTTTTTTTTTTTTGAGAATAAAGAGGATTAATAAATGTTAAATGGTATCTTGGAATTTTAAAGGAGAAATTTGGAGGAAAAATAACTGGATGTATGCACATGGCCCAGGAGACAGCATGTGGAAAAGCAAATCCACTTTTTTTAGTGGGCAAATCCCAAAATTAGAGTGGTTTTTTTCATGTTCTCGTCCCTTAATATTTGTGTGAGTAAAACTGATTTTGACAGGCTGTTAGCTCAGTTATTTTCACTCCAGTTGGGTGGGTGAGATTTCTTCCAACTCTTGCTGAAACTTGCTCAGAACGGAACTGAATGTTTGTGAAGAGGGTGTGAAAATTACTTCAGAGGGTTTGAAAACGACCTCGAAGAGGGTTTGAAAATGACCTCTGAGACGGTTTGAAAATGACCTGGAAGAATGCTTGAAAATTACCTCAAAGGGTTTGAAAATGATCTCGAGGAGGGCTTGAAAATGACCTCAGAGGGTTTGAAAGTGACCTCGAGAAGGATTTGAAAACGACCCCAGAGAGGGTTTGGAAATGACCCCAGAGGGTTTGAAAATTACCTGGAAGAATGCTTGAAAATAACCTCGGAGGGTTTGAAAATGACCTCGGAGAGGGTTTGAAAGCGAGCGCGGTGTCCTGAGGAGGGGCAGGGCTGTGCCACGCCGGGTGGGACACACGGACACGGCGGGGCCCGCCTGGAGCCGCTCATGAATGAACTCCGGCAGAATTTTATTTTTTTATGAATGGGCGCTCGGCTGTGAATGAACAGCGCAGCTCTGCCACGCGATTGGTCCGCCAGGGTGGAAGCCACGCCCCACCCATCAATGGGTGACGGCCGAGGGAGCGCTGATTGGCGGGAGTGCCCCGGCTCGCGGCTTCATTCACAAATTCGATCAAACAAAGGAGTGGGCGAGCCGGGCCGTGAGCGAGGGGCCAATGGGCGGCCGGGCCCGGGGCCTCGGAGCGGGCTCGGGGCGGCGCCGCCGCGGGCTCGGCGTGGGCCGGGGCCGCCGGTGCTGAGAGCCGGCTCCGGACGGGACCCGACCCGAGCGGGGCTCCTGTCCCGGGGCTCGTCCCGGCCGGGGCTGGCGGGCTCGCTCCCGCCTCGCGTTCCAAGTTTCGGCAGCTGCTCCGCCTCTCCCGGGTCGCGGTGCTGCCGCTGCTGCGGATCCCGGCCGCTGGCGACCACCCCGGCCCGGTTCGGCCCGGTTCCCCTCGGCCGGTACCCGCCAGATGCCCGAGGAGGATGAAGGGGTACCCGGACCAGCAGGTGCCGTTCACTTTCCCGCAGGTGAGTGGCGGCTCCGGGGGGAGCTCCGGGCCGGCCCCGCTCCGCCCGGGGCTCCGCTCTGAGCCGCTCCTCTCGCAGCCGCCCCCGGGCCCGGCGCTGCCCGCGGGCCGAGCCGTGCTGGGCGCTGGCAGGACTACCGGGGAGCCGCCCGTGCCGCCGGAGCAGGACTCGGAAGGTGAGGGGGACCCGGGGGTGGCCGGGCAGGGACCGGGAGCGGGAGCGGGGCCGGCGCCTCCCCCGCTCCGCGCCCGGAGCATCCCGCAAGCAGCAGCGGCTCCTCTCCCCGCAGAGCTCTTCCAGGACCTGCGGCAGCTCCAGGAGACCTGGCTGACTGAAGGTAGGTTCTTCCCTTCTTCTTAAACTTCTGGAATAGTATGGCACCATTGTGCCGGGCATTTGTTCATGAATGGGGCTTGGCTCCTGGCCCGCTTTCCTGGGTACAATTTTCGCTCCAGGCTGTTTGTAACTGGTTCGATTTTATGCTAATTTGCCACTTATCTTTGTAGGTTGCCAGAACGTTGATATTTTCTTAAACAACAAAGTAGTCTTTTAATTTGTGGAACAAAACGCTTCTATTCTTTCCTTTTTTTTTTTTTTTTTTTTTTTTTTTTTTTTTTTTTTTCTTTTTCTATTTTTTAAATGTAATACTCCGTGGGGACCTTCCTGGAATTTACATACTTTTCAGTTTGGTGTCTTAATTGTTTTGACTTTGAAGTTCAAGGAAAACTTCGAATGCCAGGGAGTCACATTAATTCCAAGTGAAACTAATTCTGAACATGGTGATTTTGCTCCAATTCCAGATGATTCATTTTCAGAAAATTCCAAACACATCCTCAAGTACAGATTCTTAATAAATACAGAAGCACTTATTGTATCTGGTACTTAAAAATATTTAACAATAATGATGTAAAAATATGCGTGGCATTTTTAGCAGGGTTATTTCCTCTCATTTTACCACAAGTGAGAGACAATCTTGTCAAACAATTATTTTTCTAAGCCTTCAAAAATGTATTTGCCGACTAAGTAGGCTTATTAAAGAGAAAAATCAGAAGTTTTCTGTTCATTCCAGAGTGAACTGAGATGAGTTGATCAGGCAGTGCTCAGGAGTGTGAGGATTGTGAGGATGCAGCAGGAATCACCTGGAGGCTGTTTCAGTATTGAAATATCAATGTAACTTTTATCAGAACAGGAAAATAGGTATTAATTGCTGGTCATGTAATTGACCTGAGCTTGATTTCTTTTAAATCTTACAAGGACTCCAGTTGCCAATAAGTTTGCCTCAAAACTGATTTTTGGGAGAGTTTCAATTTTGGATTTTCCCATGACTGATAATTTTTTAGCTCACCAATTAAGGAATTTCCATTATTTCCATATTATTATTTCCATATATTTCCAATATATTTGCCAGTAGCAGAGGGTTTGTAGGATGAGTTTGGAAGTCACTCACAGCCCTGGAGGTGCTCTGCATCCAGCCAGGATTGATAAATGACAATGCAAACCTCACTGCATGTTTTTGGAACATTTCAAATTTAAAATTCCTTTTAATTATCATTTTGCATAGCTCCTAGCATCTAATCAGAGTCCACATGAAATCCATGAGAAATTCAGGATGAGTTTTAATAATGTATTTTATTATTTTGTTCTGTATATCAGGGAACTGGTTTCTGCCATTGTTTTCCCCATCTCCAGACTTGTAACAAGAAAAAATACCCTCTGAAGCAAACTATTGCTTTTTTCTGTTCACCAGGATGTCAAAATATTTTCCTGAATGGTGAAAATATTTTTTGTTAATGTCCTGTGTGTCAACATTTGTTCATGAGATGAAAGCATCAGAGCACTGAAGAGTACCTCCCTAAACAAAGCAGGAGAAAAAGAGAAAATATTAAATATGTTATTTATTCTTCTTCTTTATCACATGTAGGGTTTTTTTTAATTGTAATTTATTTACAATTTTTGGTGTTACTTTTTAAATAAAAGGGAAGAAAACCTAGGAAGGAAGCAAAATAGAAATAAGGCATCAGCCAAAAATGTTAATGAATTTAACCCATATCAATCTGTATAAATGTGTTTATGTGTGTTATGTATTGGTGTGATTTCAGTCATAGGTGTATCTCTGTTATCTTTTAAAAATATTTTTAGTAGTGTCAATTAACACTTGATTTCTCATTTTGAGAGTCAAAGAATTATTCTGCAGGAAAAAAAAAAGAAAAGAAAAAAACCACATGCTGAAAATAGCATGGCTCTTAAAAAAAACACATGCTGAAAAATCCTGGGTCTGGTTAGTAAAAATCCATTTTTCCTCTGCACTGTTTTTACCAGGATCTGCTGCACTTGGGGTGAACCTGGCAGTTGGTAACTGGATGGAATTAACTTCAAGCCAAATAATTTCTAGAAATGCATCAGCATTCAGAGAAACAAACAAAAACCAAATTTCCTTGGAGAAAAGCAGCACAGGCAGGTCCTGTGAAGGAGCACATTCATATATCAGGCAGAAAACTGAGGTTCCAGTGCTGCAGCTCTGGGAAGTTGTGGGGAAATGGGGGGGTCAGGGCTGCAGGGTGAGTGCCTGGAACAGGAGCAGAGCTGGGTTTAGATAACCTCATAAATTATCTCATAAAATTATCCCAATGATGTCCATTAATTATCCCAATGATGTCTCGCAGGCTTGGTTAAACACCTCCAGGGATGGTGACTGCACCACCTCCCTGGGCAGCCATTCCAGAACTTTATCACCTTTCTGTGAAAAACTTCTTCCTGATATCCAGCCTAAATTTCCCTTGGTGCAGCTTAAGAGTGAAATTGAAACTCTTCTCTTTAGGGTTCTAGCCTGGTATCTGTGGTCAGGCACCACTGCCAGCACCCAGCCTTGCCCCTCATTTCCCATCTGCTCTGTGGCTTTCAGTATTTCATTCTCTTGTGACATCACCTGTGATGCCATGGAGAGCCTCAAGGCTGACAAGTCCCAAGTCTGCTCATGATCCCCAGAATTTCTTCTATTCCCACGTTGCTTTTCAAAGATAATTCAGATAACGGGAAAAAAAAAACATCTAGAATATTCAAATTCCCCGTGTTTTATTGCTTACATTTGCAGTTTGTTGTCATCCAGGTTATTGGAAGGAACAGCAATTGCAGAGTGAAGGGTTTGGCCAGTTCCATTCTTATTCACTACCTAGCACAGTGTTACTCCCTCAGGTTTTTTTTGGCTAACTCAGGTTAATAGGCTTCCATCCTTTATGTCCCTCAATTTTGACTACATCACCTCTGTTTTAGAGCAGAGGGAGTGCAATCTGTTGTCCACTCTGCAATAACAAAAACTGCAGATTTGTCTGTTAGCAGCAGCAGCATTTCTGTCAGCAGCAGTGGCAGAGTTTATGAAATAACAACAATCTGCTGCAAGCTCTCCCTTCCCTGCAGTAAAAGGGATGTAAAAGTAATTGTTAGAAGTTATAAAATATGGGTAAGGCTTCTCCCAGGACTCACAAGTATTCATTAATCCCAAAGGGAAACTCTCCTTACTCACTAAAATCATCCCAGCAGAAAGCTCAGGCCTTTCCTGCAGAGATTTATTTCTGCCTTAGTGTTAATTATGCTAACCAAGTGCCAAAGCTAACTCCTCCCTGCCTCTTTTTCTCCCTCCCTCTCTCTCCTGACAGCTCAGGTTCCAGACAATGATGAGCAATTTGTGCCTGATTTCCATTCAGAAAACTGTAAGTACCACGGGGATGCTCACATCCCCTGGGGAAGGGCAAATCCAAATTCTGCAGCCTTTTCTCCCCTGCCCCAGGCAGTTGTCCCCATGTAAACTGAAATTAAACACTTTTACTGGTTGCTCTTGTTTCCCTCCTTTCTCAGAGCTTGGTCTCTGAGCCATACATTTGATTTTTTTGTCTTTTTGACCTAGAGCTGAGGAAAGGAATGGTCCCAGTTTCACTCTGGGTGAATCAGTGAGTCAGGTGTAATGTGAGAGCCTGTTCCAGCTGTCAGGGGCTGGAAAGAATTGGCTGCTCCTAACACATCCAGCTTCTTGAAAATCCCATGGAGTTCAGGGTAGATTTCATTCAGCAGAGATTTCATTCAGCAGAGATTCAGACCCCTGCATTTGGAATTGCCTGATGATCACAGCTCCCCACAAAAGTGTCAGTTTGATCTTTCCTTTCTCTCCTGCAGTGGCTTTTCACAGTCCTCCTGCTAAGATCAAAAAGGAGCCCCAGAGCCCCTCGGAGCTGTCCTGCAGCCACGAGCAGCCCCTCCAGCACAAGAGCGAGCAGTGCCTTTATGCCAGGTATGGCTCACACAGAGGGGCAGCAGCTGCTCTGGAATCCAGAGCTCTGCATTGGCTGTGTCTTGGTTTGAAAAGCCAGGTGTGTGCTAAGGAAGGCAGGAGCCTCCCCTGAAATGGAAAATGGAAAATGGAAAAATGGAAATGGAAAAATGGAAAAAACCCCTCCCTCTGAATTGTTGTAAATTTGAAATTAAGGGGCTCTAGGCAAAGATGTGGGAATAGGAAAAAAAAGTTTTTTTAATAAGGAAAAAAATAAAAATTCTCACTGGCCCATTAACAGAAGATAATTAATAACTAATGGCCCATGAACAGCAGAGATCTCCTGGAGGGAGGATTGGCTGTGGGAGAGATAAAGAAAAAACTGCCCGGTGAACAGCAGATACCTGCCCCACCTCTGACAGATGGAAATAACCACACACCCCCAGCTAAATCTTGCAGCCTAAGACAGAGATGTTCCAGGTGCTGCCACAAGTCCTTCCTGGAGAACTGAAGTGCTGCAATGTCTGTTTGGCTCTTCCAGTGCCTATGACCAGCCCAGAGAGTCCCCCAGCCCCGGAGTCCTGATCCAGCCCCCACTGCAGCAGTTCCCCAGACAGGACAGGAGCTTCCTGAGCCCTGCAGGGCCACCCCACCCCACATCCAGCTGTGGGTTCCTCAGTGAGAGCAGGTGAGTTACCTCACCTGAGGAGGGGACAGCCACTGGCAAGGATTGCCCTGCTGGGTGGTGGAAGAGGAAGGGCTGCAGCATCCCGGTGGAAGTGCCCTGTTTCCAGCCTCCTGTGGGACCCAGCTCTGCTGCCTGGGGTGTGAAATCCACACCCTTAACCCTGCCAGATCCTGGCAGTGCTGGGCTGTGGGGCAGCTGCCCTTGGGAACACCCTTCCCTGGGATGTCATCCTTCCCTGTGGCAGCCACAGTGAGCTCCTGCAGCTCCAGGAATGGGTTGAGGAGGTTTCTGTCCCTCAGCCAGCCCCATGCCAGGGCTGGAACCAGGGGGCCCAGGAAGCAGAAACCAGAGCTGAGCCCAGGGTGTTCTCTACAGGCTCAGGGGTGTCATTGGAGGAGGTTTCTGTCCCTCAGCCAGCCCCATGCCAGGGCTGGAACCAGGGGGCCCGGGAAGCAGAAACCAGGGCTGAGCCCATGGGATTCTCTACAGGCTCAGGGGTGTCGTTGTGTGAGGACAAGGGAAGAGATGAATCTGATTCCATAATTCTTAGAAATCTGATTTATTATATTATGATATTATGTTATATTAAAAATGCTGTACTAAAGCTATACTGAAAAGTATAGAGAAAGGAAAGCATCAGAAGGCTGGAAAGGAATGAATAATAAAAACCTGTGACTGCTCAGAGCCTCGAGACAGCTGGAGCATGATTGGTCATCAAGTAAAAACAACCCACATGGACCAATCAAAGATGCACCTGTTGGTAAACAACCTCCAGACCACATATTCCCCAGCCATCAAATAGTTATTTTTCACATTTATTTTCTGAGGCTTCTCAGGAGAAAAATCCTGGCAAAAGGATTTTCATAAAACATCACAGTGACACAGGGGAATCCCCCATTGTTTCTGGGGCTGCACAGTCTCAAGAAAGCAGCAGTCTCACGTGCTCTCCCTTCTTAGCTCTGCCTATCAGCCACCTCTGGAGATGTGCCATTCCTTCCCAGCCTCCCAGGAAGACCCTGCTGCCTACCAGTGCCAGCTGCCCAAGCCCTGCCTCCAGTACCCTCAGCAAGGCTTCAAGCAGGAGCAGCAGGACCCCCAGCACGAGCCAGCAGCCCGGGCAGGCAGCAGGCAGCAGTACCCAGCAGCTGTGCTGGTCAAGCAGGAGCAGCTGGATTACCTGTACGAGCCAGGTAGGCAGAAGTGACCCTTCCTGAGTGCATGGACATCTTCAGTGGGGTGAGCAGCTCCTTGGTGAGCGTGCAGCTGGATGAACTGCTGCTCTCTGAGCAGGTTTAAGAAAGGCTGTTTGTGTGTAAGTTTGAAACCTCAGCCATGCAGTGAGTCAAATCATCCACAGCCTTCATTTCCCTGGATACTTCACTCTCGAGGGTGAAGCAGAGCTCTGGAGCAGCACTGGCTCAGTCAGTAGCATGTTCTCTCTGGGTAGCTGGAGCTAAAGCAGTTCTGAGGTTCACTGCATCCAAAATAAGACTGGCACATTCACCTTGCTCTGAGAAAGACTTTGTGGTGCAGAGCTGAAATCTTGAGCAAGACGGGAGGTAGAAGGTGATGTTAAATCCACCCAAAGCAGATAAAAGCATCCCCACCCCAAGGGAGTAAGTAGCCAATATGACACTTAAAATTCATATTCATTCATATTCATTTCCCACACACCAGCAGGAACGAGGAAAAGGCTGTTCCCAGTTTCACAGGGAGATTTTGGTTTTGGGGGTATTTGTGAGCTGAAGGTTGCAGAGAGTAAGTGAGGTCAGCTTTGAAGAAATCATATGAAAACAGCAAACAGCTACAGAAGGGAAGGAATCAAATATGTTAGAACTTGTACAGAAAATCTGTCTTGGACCCTTGCAGCCCCTCTGAGCACTGGGAAAGGGGCTCTGGGTGGGCTCAGCTCAGTGCCAGGGTGCTCTTGGAGGATCTGCTGCTTCCCATGGAAACAAGGCTCAGAGAACAGAGGTGTCAGGGGATGACAAGAGAAAAAAGTCAGTGATGCCAAAAATAGCTCTCTAGATGCCAGATATCTCCACCAGGTGATCCTCTTATTTTTCCACAAGGGATAAATCTTATTTTTCTGGCAGATCTGTCCAAAACTCACTATCCTGAGATCACAATGCCCTCTTCCAGAGGGAATGATACTCCTGGCTTCCTGGTATTTTAATGGACATCTTGAATGGTTTCCTTTAGCAGAAATAAACATAAAAATAAAAAGCTCTTATGAGGGGATCACTGTGGTGATATTGGTATTACAATTTCACTGGGTCCTTCTGTTCAGGAAATGTGCAAGCCCAGAAGATGGGAATGTGCTTTTTGTGGGAGTAGTTTATGATTGTAATAACACCCAGGCTGTCAGCTCAGAATTCTCTTTCCTCAGCATCAGCAAAATATCTGCTGGCAGCCACGGCCAGACAGGTGTGAGAGGGAAATGTAGCACAAACCTTTGCAGAGCTCCCAGTTACAGCTTCTGCTTCAGCTGTGTGCAGTAAATAAATTCGATTCAGAAGACAAAAATTACAGTGCACAGAGAGCACTATACACTACACAGAGAATCAGGAAAAGATTTCCTGCTTGTTTTTAACAAAGGCTGGTTTTTCTTTTATATTTTCTAAACTGTTTGTGAGAATGTCCCCTCATGATGTGAAGAAGCCAGGGAGATTTGAGACATCTGAAATGTCATTTGTGAGACTCTGTAGAAACATTCAGATGCTACAGCTCTCCATTTACATCCTCACAGTGTCCCTGGAAAAATGTAATGCCTTCTTACCTGGGAAAGCAGCAGCAAAGTGTGTAGTTATCTTAAACTGAGAGGTTCAAATTGATTTTGAATATTGATTTATACATGATTTTGTATAAAAGTGATGTGGAAGTGATTGGCTGGCTATCCTGGCTACTCTGAAGGATGGTGCCACAAAATCTTACTGCTCTAATCCATGGCTGGAAGGATAATGCACATGAAGTTGTAGTTACAGTCTGACACTCACCCTTTAGGAGGGCTCCAAGAGGACCTTGGTTAGACAGCTGCACTCACCTATCCACCTGTGCTTTTTAAACAAATGAGTTTGTTAATTGTTCTGTAGATGTTCCTGACTGTCCTTCCATGTACATAAATGCTGAGAGTTACCCAAGCCTTTCAAACACAGAAGATCCATTAGGTAAGAGGTGCAGGGACTGTCTTTTCTCCCTGCACAGAACCACCCTCTGCTCCCACCCTGCCTGACTCTGACTGCTGATGTTGCTTTCTCTTTCAGGCTGCAGCTATGACAAGCAGATGAGGTCCTTTACTGATGATGTCTGTGTTGTTCCAGAGAAATTTGAAGGTTGGAGAAAGAATGGCTTGGAGTTTTGGTGTAAGATAGGGTTATTCGTCACCTCAGCCAGCCCCTTGGCTAGGGCCTACATAGTTCATTACTGTGTTCTGGCAGGTGTGTTGGTACCCAGCTTTTTGGTGTCCCATTTTTTGAGCTTTCTTAGCAGCAACCAGGCCTTCCAGCATAAGCAGCTTAATTGTGACTTATGTCAGAGCTGCTCTTGGAAGAGTTGCTTGTGAATTTGCCACTGTTTTATGTGAACTGAAATATTCCAGGTAAACATTTTGAAACTGTGAAATGTGCTGCTTTTTTTTTTCTTTTTTTTTCCCCCCAGTTGTTTTTGCACTGTTCTCCTTAGAGATGTCTTGTTTGTCCTTCTCAGCAGGAGACATCAAGCAGGAAGGTGGAGGGTACCGGGAAGGACCCCCCTACCAGAGACGGGGCTCGCTCCAGCTCTGGCAGTTCCTCGTGGCTCTCTTGGACAATCCCACCAATTCCCACTTCATTGCCTGGACTGGGAGAGGAATGGAGTTCAAGCTCATTGAGCCAGAGGAGGTGAAACCATTGGGGTTCTCTACAGGCTCAGGGGAATCACCCTTTGTTTCTGGGGCTGCAAATTCCCAAGTGGCTTTTTCTCTGCCCTAAGACCCTGCAGCAAGTCAAGGTTTTTAGAAGAGGTCAAAACACTTCTTAACCTGGTATTTGAGTGACACAAATACCAGGTTAAGAAAGGCTGCTTGTGTGTAAGTTTAGAAGCTCAGCTATGCAGTGTGTCAAATTATCCTTCATTTCCCTGGATACTCCACTCTCAAGCTTGCAGTGGCCTGTGCTGTCTTGTCATGCTCCATACTGAGGCTGGCATTGAGGTTTGGAGTTCTGAGCCCTACTGATCACAGAAGTTTTCATAAGATATGTCCTAGTCTGTCTTTATTTCAAAATTGCTTCCACTGAAGTGTAATTTCAAATGCTGCCATTTTCCAAAAAATCCAGTGATACTTGACAATATCTGGGGGAAGTGTCGATAATATCTGTTCATCTCTTGTTCCAGTTAGAGCTGCATTTAGCACTGTTCTTGCTACAAATGAAAATTTATGGGCACTTTCAGTGCAGATGAGTTGTCTTGGCAGGTTGACATCAGCTTAAAACAGACTTCTGAGTCTCATGGATAAAGCTGAAAATCATGTAGGAGTAGAAAGGCACAGGTCTCTCCAGTGTGCTCCCTCATGCTTGGTCTCCTGATAAACATGGAACCTTGAAAATTAAGTGTAACATAGGAAAAAGCGGCCCTTTAGCATCCTCAAACTTTCAGAGTGCTGGAGAGTGAGGAGCAGAGGTGACAGCAAATGAGTTCTGTAGTGGCCAGAATTTCTCTGTGATACAGAGTTCTTGAGTTCTCCTCATGTTTAAAAGCTGTTAAATTATTGATAAATCTATTATTGAAATGTTTGTATGTGTTATGGTACCATCAGTGAAAGGAGAACCAGCTGGATGATGTTATTTTCTCTTGGGCTGGTGTCTTGGTTTGAAAAGCCAGGTGTCTGCTAAGGAAGGCAGGAGCCTCCCTTGAAATTGAAAATGCAAACCCCCACCCTCTGAATTATAATTTTTAAATTAAGGGGCTCTCAGGCAAAGATATGGGAATAGGAATGACAGTTCTTTAATAGGAAAATTTAAAAATACAAATGCAATAGTACAAAAAAAAGAAAACAAACCACTGCCAGAGTCAGAGCAGGAGCTGAGCCCTGTGGGTCAGGGTGGTGGCACAGTCCCATCCCATGGGGGCTCAGCCCTCCTGCAGTGCCAGCTGTGCTTCTGCTGGAGCAGGGATCCTGCACAAGGCTGGAGTTTTCCTCTGGAGCTCCAGGGCTGCTGGAGATGGGCCTGCTCTTCTTCTGGGAATGCAGTGAAAAAAGGCTGTCTTTGGTGTTCCAAATCTCAGATTGTATCCAGGTAGGAATGCTGGGCTCCTGCCCTGGGCGGAGCATCTCCCAATAAGATGATGGAATTTTGTCAGCCATGCAGGGACACTCACTGGCCATGAACAGAAGATAATTAATAATTAATGGCCCAGGAAGAGAAGAGATCTCCTGGAGGGAGGATTGGGTGTGGAAGAGATAAAGAAAACTGCCCAGTGAACAGCAGATACCTGCCCCACCTCTGACACATGGCAACAGAATACACCCCCAGCTAAACCTTTCAAGCTGAGCCAGCTGGGCTCCCTGCCATTGCCACTTTGGTGATGTCTTTTTGCAGGTGGCCAGGCTGTGGGGGATCCAGAAGAACCGTCCAGCCATGAACTACGACAAGCTGAGCCGGTCTCTGCGCTACTATTACGAGAAAGGCATCATGCAGAAGGTCAGTTTGCAAAGCAGGAGGAAACTTTGTGCTTTAAGTGATGCTTCTCTTGTTTGAGACAAGAAGTCCTAGACAAAATGTCCTTGAGCTAGCTGTGGGAAATAGTAAACGTAAGAAGATTTTTAGAAAGCTGGGAAAGCTTTCTAAAAATGCTAGAAACAGGAAGAACAGAAAACTCGGAGCTAGCTGCAGCTGCAAAGTCAGAAAGTAGGAATAGTTACTATGGTAGAACAAGCAAGAACATTAAACAATAGCTTGAGTTTTAGGCTTGGCTAAGATACACCTTAAGACTACAGGAAAATATGCTTAGGAAGATAGTAGAAGGTTTTAAGCTGAATAATGGTATATTGTTATGGTGTATTGTTAATAGAAAGCAGAGCAGCAAGCACTGTGTGAAGCAGGTGTACATGTGCTTTTAGTGATTGGCTAGAACAATTAATTGTCTGTAAGCTTTAGCAGTGTGCTCTTGGCTAGAAAGTTTTTAAAATGTTCTGTAACAAAGAAATTTTTGGCTGCTGCTGGCTGTACGTGAGCTTTGCCATCTTCCTGTTGTCTCAGTCATGTAATGAGGCTGATGATGCAAATAAAGCTCAAGGAACATCCCCCAACAGTCCTGTTCATGAAAACAAACTCCAAACACATTAGCCAGGCATCCCAGGCTTGCTCTCCCCAAAATTTCTCTTTGCTGTAGTTCAGCAGAGAAGCTGTGAAGGAGCTGAATGTAAGCAAAGCATCAGAAATAAAACAAAGGGGGAATTAAGGTTTCTTTCTTTTTTCTGTATATTACTACAGCTTCAAGGAGATGGAATCAGTCCTTCCTCTGGTGAGGGAAAAGCTGCCTGGAACTTGGTCCTGTGTGGTAGGGAGGGTGTGTGGCACACCCAGGGCCCTGGAGAGATAACTGGGAGTGTGACTGAGTACAGACTGTTCAGGGACTGCTGCTGCTGCTGTTATCAGAGAGTGTCAGCTGGCAGCATCCCAGCTCCCAGGAGTGATATATTTTCTCCTCGAGTCAGGTCTTATAAGCTCTCAGAAAAACATATCACATCTGAGATAGCTCAGCTACTTCAAATGGCATAAAATCAGCAGGATGGCTTCTGTGGTAGTGTTGGAAACAGAAAAGTTTTAATAAAAGGCAAAATAACAAAGCTCTTTACAGACAAAGTCTGAGCTAGGGGCAAGAGGCTCTTGCTCCTGCTAAAACACCCCACAACAGTGATTAGTTCCTTTTGTTATCTTATTTTTCTAGTGAATTGCTTAGGCAGGACCTTTTGGCCTCTGTCCAGTTGGGAATCCTTAGGTCTGAAGTGAAGTCCCCAAGATCCTATGAAGTGTCTTTTTATCAAATTGAGGAGAGAAACTTGTGGGCTTTTTTCCTTTTTAAGGAAACAAAGGATAATTTGGTCACTCCATCAACATGGGACACAGGAGCTGTTCCAGGGGAGGTCAGAGCAGCAAGAGGAGATGACAAGGCGAATTTTACAGCTCTGACCCATCTCAGGGCAGGCAGAATGTCTTTGCAAGCCTTCCCTGGGCCTGCAGCTCTCACCTGGGCTCCTCTCATCCCTGCAGGTGGCTGGGGAGCGCTACGTGTACAAGTTTGTGTGTGAGCCTGAGGCTCTGTTCTCCATGGCCTTCCCCGAGCAGGCGCGGCCGGCGCTGAAGGCGGAGCTGGAGCTCAGCGAGGAGGACACGCTGCCCCTGTCCCACCTGGGTGACAACTGCTCCTACCTGCCAGACCTTGGCAGCTTCCCTGCACAGCTCTACAGCAAAGGCTACACCTACTAGCACTGCTGGGAGTGCAGAGATGGATGGTTGGTGCTCAGCGTTTGTTCAGGGCAGCACGAGCTCTGCAGCCCTGCTTTGGTCAGGACAAATGTTCAGGTGCACGAGTGGAAAATCACCTGGCAGCAGACAGGGCTCTGGTGTGCTTGTGATAAAGTTTCTCAGCTGTGCAGAGATCTCAGGTGATTGGTGCCTCCAGATGTATCAAACCTGTCACAATCCCCTCATTGCACAGGGAGGGGATGCTGTCCCACCAGGGCTTTTTTCATTCAGAAAAATGAGGAAAATGATGAGAATGCTACAATGCTGCTGCTGACTCTGCTCCTCCTGTACATGTCCTGAACCTCTGCATGACCTGCTTTCAGCTCTGACCAGAGGAACTCACTCTGAAAGGCCACTTAAGCCTTCTTCCCAGGATGGCTGCAGGACAATGGTCACAGAGCTTGTGCCTTCTTTGAGGAATACTCATTGTCTTGTACGTGCATGCTCCTGCCTTGTCACCTCCTTGCTCATGCCAGGAGCTTCTGGCATTCTGAGCAGAGTAGGTGGAGGCCTTGGCCAGGATTAGAGCAGTCCTGCAGTCCATGGCCCAAAGGCATTTAGGGGAACCACAGAAGAGCTTGATTGCAATGGTTTGGGGCACAGCTCAAAGCCAATGCCTCGTTCAGGCAGAGGGATTGTGGGAAGCAGCAAAGCCTGGGACACAGCTCAGTGTAGTGGTGTAGCTTTTCCAAACTGAAAAACTTCTTCAACAAACATTCTCAGGATATCTGAAGAGCTGCCAGGCTCTGGAGTGTGCCCATCCTGGGCTTGGCTAGAGAATTGTCTGAGGCAAGAGAAGAAGCTGGTGGAGGTGTGATTACAAAATGCTATACAAAGTAACCTAAACCATACATAGATCTTAATATAGGAATTCAGACTTAAACTCCACAGATATTTGCATGTTTGAAGGGAATTCAGATGTGTTGAAAAGGCAGCTCTCTCTGCACTCTAATGCAGCACATGCAGCTTAACTGAACTGGCAGGTTTTCCACAACAGTAAATGTTCATAACGGGTACCACATCCTGATTAAGAGGTGTTTTAATTTTTTAATTAGTTGCTCCACCAGTTAGAAAAGGAGCAGTACAGAGCACCCATTCAGAAAAAAGTCTGTTTCCACTGCTTCAGATTGATGTTTCAGCTGCTGAATACAGAGCATTGCCAATCCTGCCAGCATGGTAGCCTGTAGAAAAAATTCTGTATATTGACTGAAAGCCTGATTTCCCTGGATGACTGTCCCCTGCATGGCTAATGCCAACCCTCCCAGCCTCATCCCTGAGTGCAAGAGCCATGGAAGGCAGCATTCCCTGCCTGAGGAGAGGCCAGACACTCAGAGCAGTCTGCTCTGCTGCTGCCTTTGCAGGCCCTGTGCAGACTTGGTGCTCTGACAGTTCCTGACCCTCCTGCCTTGCCCTGCACCTCCCTGGCCAGCACAGTTCCCGTGCTGTCCCAGAAATGAGGGTGAAGGGGAACCCCTCCTTTGGTATTAGCTGCCTTTACTATTTATGAGTGTAAAAATACTATCATTAATAAATTGGTCTGTCTTTGGCCAGTGCAACCTCACTGAGTGTTCCTCCTTTACCTTCTGAGCTTGCTTTGCACCTCCCCTTGGCACCAGCTCACAGCTTTGATACCTCCATCTGCAGCATTCCCAAGGATCTGACATTTACCCAGTATCCTTTGGGCCACCCCTCTGCCCTTCCCTCCAGAATAGGAATTCAGGGAGTGAGTTCACACATTTCTGTGCAATTTTAGCTGCATGTTTCATTCAGGTTTCTCAAGTCAGGGCAACTGATAAACAGCCACAGAGCAGCTCCAGGAATCAACAAGGTAAGGTTCCCCTCTTGAGGGGCAGTGACCTCCAAAGCTCAGATTCCTAATAACCAGATCCGAGAGTTGGGAGTCAATAAATCCACTCAGCATTTCCAGGTCAGCAAGAGTGAGAGGCAGCTGGGATGGGAGTAATAGACAAGAGTCCTAAAGTTCTCCTGTTGCTCCTGAAAATGACCAGCAGCTTCCAGGAGGGAGATAAACAGCTCCCACACAAATCTATAAACTCCCACAGAAGCTTCCATAAGTCAGAGACTAAGGAAGAACTTGTTCTTATTCCTAAGTACCACAGCTACCCGCCTTTTAAATCCCCTCCAGGGTGGTGACTCCAGCACTGCCCTGGGCTGCCTGTGCCAATGCCTGGCAACCCTTTCAATGAAGAATTTTTCCTAATATCCAGTCAAAACCTCCTCTGGCACAACTTGAGGCCATTTCCCTTTGGCCTATCTCTGGTTGCATGGGAGAAGAGGCCAACACCCACCTGAACCAGCAGGTGAATTCACCCACCTGGCTCTAACGTCTTGTCAGGGAGTTGTAGAGAGTCAGAAGGTCCCTCCTGAGCCCCTCAGCTGTTCCTCATCAGACCTGCGCTCCAGATCCTTCTGAGAGAGATTAAACAGTTAATGGCTCAAACTTTGTTAAAATCACTCAAGGGTTTTTGCCCATTGCAGCAAACTGCAAAGTTCTGAGAGAGATTAAACAGTTAATGGCTCAAACTTTGTTAAAATCACTCACTACTTTTTGCAGCAAACTGAAAAAAAGTATCTGCACCAAAGCCCACCCCACTGCCCATAACAGGACTTCTGGCAGGAATTTGAGATAAGATAAAGCTGGCATGATTGGCCAATTATCTCAGATCTAAGGAGAAAGTTAACAAGGCATGGGGAGAATGTATCCACAAAGAAAGCTCAACCCAGCAGCTGTGCTGAAAATCAGCTCTGGCTGGGTTCAGCAGGGGTGCACAGCCCAGACCCATCTGCTGTGGCCAGGTTTGCACATTCTTCTCCCCAGGCAAAGGGGAGAGTTTTTGGGTGTGATTTCCAAACATCTGGTACAGAGGGATGAACACTCATCCCCTGGCTACAAGCCAGGTAAGAAGCAGACCCTGCAGAGTCCTCCCTTACACAAACTGGCTCTGGTGTAAAACACACCACAGCTCACATTCACATGAGAGGCAGTCTTGGAAGGGATCATAAGTCTCAGAGACACCCAAAGTGCCCTAGACTCATTTCTGAAGACTGCACAGGATCAACAAGTATTGCACCAGAACCAGTCTGTTGTAAAGACACTGCAGAACTGCCCCCAGCAGGAAGGTGTGTGGGCATTTCCATCTACACCTGCATGTTTATTAACCCACTGAACTCTGCTTCATGGAACCCCCACCACCAAGACCAGAAGAAGAGAATCAATGGGACACCACTGGATCCACAGGGTGAACAGCTTTTTAATCTGTCTCTCTGTCACTCTCATTCTCTCACTCCCTACTTCTCCTTTTCCTGTTTATTTCTCTCTCTCTACCTCATATTTACAGTTAAATAAAATCCATACTATTGGCTTCAGCATGTGGTCTTGTTTGCATCTTAGAAGGATTGGATCCTAACACCCTCCCCAGCTCCACTGGCCATCTCTGGACACCTTCAGCACCTCAACATCCTTTTTGTACTGAAGGGCCCAGAGCTGGCTGCAGGATTTGTGGCCTCAGGAGTGCCCAGCACAGAGCCACACCATTTCTGGTGGAGCTGTAAACCCCTGAAGGCTTTGCTGTGCCTGCCTTCAGCAAGAGCAGCTGCACAAACAATCACTGTGCATGCCAGGCTCTGCTCAGCATGTTAATAACCACTCTCCTGGCCCCTAGGGAACCGTGGAAATATCAGGTGAGAAAGCAAAGCAGGAGAGAGGAAGGTGCCTCAGGGGAGTGTACAAGCTGAGTTTGTGGAACCTCAGTTCTTGCTGAGCTCTGGCTTTATGGCACCTGTTTCCATTATCCTAAATTAGCTTTAAGCATGCTTTGGAGGTATTCCATTCCTGTCCTTTTTGCTTTGACTCTCTGAGTTCAAAGTTACAAAGTTTGTAATTCCCTTTAATTTTATAATGAAAAACATGAGGGAAAGCTCAGGACATTTAACAACATCCCTGCTCACCTTTGTACAGAGAGGTATTTCCAACATAGCTACTTTTCAATGTGAAACATTCTTCCAATTCACTGTGTAAAACAACCAGTCAAGCTACTTCTCTTCATTTCAAAAATAATTTTAGCAAATGTCCCAGCTTTGGAAAAAAAAATAATTGGAGTCAAATAAATCTCATCTGTTAGCAACAAAAAATAAAAACATTTTACAGATAGTTTGGGCATGACACAGCACACACTGGGCAGTCAACTTCTTTTTAAAACAAGGAAGTGTTACACATTTTTTACAGACATTTTAGCTGTAAGAGCTCATTCTATTACAAAAACCCAACAGCTGTGATGTCACCAGACATATCAAGTGAAAATAAAGCACATGGCACATTGTATAAAAGGTCTAAACATTTGTAACCACTTACATTTCCAGATGGAACTGTGCTGAGAAGGGATTACTGGTTGATAAACCCTGATGGGGATGAAGGGTAAGTCTTGCAGCCTGACCTGTGCCATTGTCTAGATATATTCTAGCTGGGTTTCAAGAATTTTTACTGCCTTATCCCAAAGCTGGAGATACTAAATATCTCACTACAAATGGCTTAAATAAAATACAAGTAGTTACATTGCATGGGAAAATGCAAAAACTTGGTGAAATAGAGAACAGGCTGCTCCCAAAAAGCAGTCACTGACCGAGAACGTTAAGGAGAAATAAATCCCTTTTAGCAGGGTAAAACCACAAACTATTCCAGCCTCTGTTTGTCTGGTCACTCAGAACCCAGTCAGGCTGGTGAACAACCAGTTTTAAATCACCATTTTTTTGTGTTGTTCAGCTCAGTACCCAGACTCCTGAGTCTTAGATTTTGTCTCTTAAAAGGGGAATCACTAAAGTGCTCCGAGACCCACTCGTGAGAGGCTGCAGTGGCCTGTGCAGCTGCAGCACATCTGGGCTGCCCCTTGAGCTCCTGCTCTGCCAAAGCTGGCATTGCACAGGTGAGCTGCATGGCAATGTCTGTCCCCCAGGACGCTGGCAGCAG